GGTCCCCTCCACCCATGTGGGAGACCTGGATGAAGCTCCTGGCTTTGGCCTTGCCCAGCCCCAGCCATTAAAGCCTTTTGGGCAGTGGACCAGCAGATGGAAGATCTCTCTCTTTCTCCCCTGCCTCTCTCTCTGTACCTACTCCTTTCAAATAAAAAAATAAATATTTTTTTAAAAGTTATCTGTTTGTATTTAAAGCATTTATGGATAAAATATAATAATTCACTAAGGGTAAGGGAGAACAGGTTATAAACTGAATAGTATTAGCCATTATATGATAAGGAAACTTTTATATTTGAAAATTTCCATGATAAAACATTTAAAAATAGGAAAACGAAAAGAACTTCAAATTTAATTGGCCTAACTCAGCAGAAGCTGAAACTTCCCAGGAGGTATCTTTAGAAATTGTTCACTATTTGTTAGTTTTCTTTTTAATCCCTTTGAAGTTGCTGCTGTCCCCTCACAATATAAATAAGGGATGTTAAGAGATGGTACGGTGGCATAAGCATTTCTTGCCAGGGACTTTTTCAAGTAACTGTCTTACAAATTAAAGAAAATCCAGACACTAATTTGGAGGCATCAGTTAGTTATCTTTCTTAAGGTTACTGTGAGAGTTGCTTTAAGAACAGAAAACATAAAGAGAAATTAAGATGCTAGTTTGCTTTATTCATATTATTAAATAGCACCAATTAACTTCTGTGTTGCAGAGAATTGAGGATTTTTAAATTTTGTATTTAGAAGAGTCAAGAGAGCCAATGTGAGGAGGCCCAAAATTTCCAGGTAGGTGACTACTGAGTAGCAAAGGACATTTATGAACAACCAAAGTCGACTAGGGGCCGATGCTGTGGCGTAGCCACCGCCTGCAGTGCCGGCATCCCATATGGGCGCTGTTTCGAATTCTAACTGCTCCACTTCTGATCCAGCTCTCTGGCAGGATCTGGGAAAGCAGTGGAAGATGGCCCAAGTCCTTGGGCCCCTGCACTCATGTGGGAGGCCCCAGGAAGCTCCTGGCTCCAGATTGGCCCAGCTCTGGCTGTTGTGGCCACTGGGGGAGTGAACTAGCGGATGGAAGACCTATCTCTCCCTCCTTCTCTCTGCCTCTGTCTCTTTTTAACTCTGCCTTTCAAATAAATGAATAAAAATGTTTTTTAAAAAAGTTACATCTAGGGAGTTTGGTGATTTTTTTCCCCCAATGTAAGCACCCTCTCCTTTTACAAGTACGGCAGGAATAAGCCTTAGATTACTAACCTTTGTAAATAAATAAATAAAAAAAAAGGCAAATGTCTGAAATAACTCACACCAGAGATGATCATGCTAGATTGTTTAACAAGTTTAGACCAATACCAGCTGAAATACTATTGGATTCTTTGCTTCCTTTCAGCTGTTCAATAGAATGATGAAAGAATGAGAACAATGCTATGAAGTCTCCTATGCCTTACTTACTCATCCTTCATACCTCTCACCTTGCTCTAGGTTCCTGGAAGGTGTACTCTGCTTCATGGCCTTCTCTCACTTCCAGTTTCTAGCCACATGACTTATCTGCCTGAAGATCACTCATCAGGTGAGTAAAAACCAGGGGTGTATTCAATAAAGAACCCGAATCGGTAAATAATAAGGTGTCTGGTATTAGTACTATTATTATTTAAAGATTTTATTTTTTTATTTGAGAGGTAGAGTTACAGTGAGAGGGAGAGACAGAGAAAAAGGTCTTCCTTCCGTTGGTTCACCCCGAAATGGCTGCAACCGCCCAAAGCCAGGTGCATCTTCCTGGTCTCCCATGTGGGTGCAGGGGCTCAAGGACTTGGGCCATCTTCTACTGCTTTCCCAGGCCATAGCAGAGCTGGACTGGACGAGGAGCAGCTGGGTCTCGAACCGGCGGCCAAATGGGATGCCGGCGCCGCAGGCGGAGGATTAACCAAATGAGCCAGGACGCTGGCCCCGGTGTCTGGTATTATTTTTCAATAATGACAAATTGCTTCAAATTTGTGTGAAAACAAAACAACACGACAGGGTTCAGGTAAAATTCAGTAAAATTTAATACTTAACAATGTCTGGTTTTTGACAAGTTGGGTGCTTAATCTGAAAGCGTTACAGAATGACAAGAAAAACCCCCAAGGCAGTCTCAAGAATGCAATTCACTGTGCCGTCTGGGTTGACTTAATATTCAAGGGGTCGAAACCTCAAAGCGTCACAGGATAACACAGGACAGTCTCCCAAGCCTTCGCAATATTTTATTGTTTCCAAGCCATGGAACTCCCTGAAGTTTCAATTTTTCCTCCAGATCAAGCTCTAGAGTTTTCTTTGCATGTCAGTGGGTACTTACCACTAACAGCTGTCTCGAAACTGCTCTAAATCGGTCACCCTACAGGTGTCCTATGCTTCTAAACTGATTATAATGGCTAAATTCATCACTCGGTCACATTTTGCTTTGACTCACAATAGGGTTTGCTTACATAGGCGTTCCATTAAAATCCTCCGTGTATTCGATCTACTTCCACGCTTTTCTTTTGGTAACACTCGTTATTCTATAAACTCAACGTCCGCCTGTAATGAAAAGCAGCTCCTTTGGCTGGCATTTATTTCATTTACGTTACCCAGAAATTAATCGATGGGAATCCATCATTTCGTGGGCCGGACTGTGGCCTGGGGTCTCACCGTCAGTCCCTGGGCCTCTTTCGGCTTGACCGGAGGGGAGGACGGAGTGACCATATCGTGCAGCGCCCCTCCCTCCGCCCGCAAGCCCTCGCCCACGTCTAATGCCTGAACGTTCCGACCCCCGAAAAGGTTTTGCTTCGTTCTGAACGGCTGTCTACCGGCCACTTTCGCACCCCTGCCCCCTCAACAGGACTCAACAGGAGGGGAACCCTGGCCAGAGCTTGCCACCCCGGCGCCGGGAGCCCTCCGGGTCACCCCAAGGCAGAGCGAAGCCGCACCGGGTCCCTGCAGGCGACTACGTGGAAGATAGGGAAAACGGCGGCGGTCAGAGGGAGCATCGCCTACCTCCCCGCTGCTGGGGAAGCCCCAGGGCGGCGCCGGGAGGAGGCTCGCTGCCCCCGGGCAGCGCTGAGGCGGCGGCCAGCGAGCCGCGGCGGCTCGGCGGGAACACAGCCGCCGTGCATGCCGGGAGCAGCGCCCCGCTGCACACTGGGTCGGTAGTTCCCGCAGGCCTCACTCCAGGGTGCAACGGAGAGCAGCTGCCGGCGGCTCCTTTTAAGGCTCGCGGGGAGCCGCGCTCGATCCGCCCAACGTAGGGAAGAGTCGATCACCCTGGGCCGAGTGAGCCGGGCCACGGCTCCCCTCTCCCAGTGGGAAGGACGGAAGGAAGAATTCGGCCACCTTTCAGGTCCCATTCAGAGCGCGGGCGGGGACGCGGGTTTGACAGTGCTTCCCCTTTAAGGGGGGGCGGGGCACAGCCTGCCGTTTGGCCGCCCTCCGCACCCTCCCCCCGCGGCCGAGAGTTGACAGACCAATCGCCCGGGCGGCGGACGGAAAGCGGGAGAATGCGAACCCTTCGGTGGGGCGCTAGGGGCGGGCCCCCGGCCTTATTAGGACGGCGTCCTGCGCAGGCGCAGAGGCGGCCGCAGCCGAAGGGGCGGGGGCAGTCCAGTGAGAGACTCTCGGACAGTCGCGGAGGCTGACCGTGGGGGGCGAGGGGTTTGTCAGGGGGATCCGAGCGACGAGGCGGCGTGGGTAGCATCTGGGGACTTTGCGGGGGACAGGAAGTGTCCCCGCCCGGGACCCCGGCGCCAGCTCCGCTGAGGGGGGGGGATCCCCGCGGCTCTCGTCCTGGGGAGGGCGGGGGGAACGGAGGGGGAGCCCTGATCTCGCCCCGCCCCTGGGCTTGTTACCGCGGGGGCGGGGAGTGAGGGCTTCTTTTGGGGGGAGTGGAGGTCGGGGGACTCGGCTGTGCCCTCCGGAGCGGCGGCCGGTGTCCCCGCGGCGCCGGGCAGCCGAGCAGACGAGCCGCGGTGAGCGCGGCTTTTGCATGTGCGGCTGCTGGATGCGGAGGCGGCGGCGGCGGCGGCGGCCAGGAGCAGCAGCAGCGGCGGCGGCAGGATGTTAGGGCAGCAGCAGCAGCAGCAGCAGCAACTGTACTCGTCGGCCGCGCTCCTGACCGGGGAGCGGAGCCGGCTGCTCACCTGCTACGTGCAGGACTACCTCGAGTGTGTGGAGTCGCTGCCACACGACATGCAGAGGAACGTGTCTGTGCTGCGGGAGCTGGACAACAAATATCAAGGTAGGGGCCGCGGGGCTCTCGGGCACGGCCGCCCGGAGCCTGCCCCGGCTGTGCCACTTTGCCTTTCTCCGGTGACAGTCTCCGCGAGTGCAACACGGCGGGGGTCCTGCCGTGTGGGGCGGGGAGGAGGAGCTGGACAGGGGGCTCGAGGCCCTCGCCTTCCCCGCTGCGGGCGGCGAGGACTTCGCCGGGGTCCCCGGAGTGGGGGTGGGGGCCGCGCGTCAGCCCCGGCTGCAGACCCAGCGGCTGCAGCTGTCGTGGAGGGGAATCAGCCATTTTAAGCAGCAAGCATTTGTTCCGGCTCTTGCCGGCCCAGTGCCGCAAGCCCTCTCGCCTGGCCGAGGGAGTGTGCAGCCAGGCGGGGGGCCGCGGCCGGCCGGGCTCCCGCCGGTCTGCGGCGCCCCGCGCTCCCCACCCCCTCCGGCCCCCGGCCCCGAGAGGAGATGCATTGGAACGTGTCGGGGGGAGGGGGCGGGAGAGGGCCGCGAAGGCGGACTCGGGGCAGGTCCCTCCCTCCGCGCTCCGGCTCCTGGCTCGGGAACCGAGCGGTCTGTTCCCCTCTCCCGCCGGGGGGAAAGTTCCGGGCTGCCCAGCGCAGTAGCCTTTGCCCAGCTCCTTCTGCCAAATGGTTAAAAGGGGAGGGGTCTCCCGCTGAGAGGGGAGGAGAGGGGCGTGTGTGGCCGGGAGGGCCCCCGGCCCCTGGGGGCGGGGCCTGCGGCCGTGACGTGGGCGAGGGGCGGGGACGCGAGGCGCTCCGCCGGCCTCGGAAATGGCTAGTGGCTGCAGAGGCTTGGGTGGGACCGGCTGCTCGAGAGCCAGTCTGGCCAGTGGCTCGTTCGTTCGGCCCCAGCAGAGCCAGTGTTGGCGTCTGTGTGACTTTTCTCTTTCGCAGCCGGTCTGTCGGCACGGGGACACAGCTGCTGGCACCGTAGCTGTCCCTGAAGGCTCGCAGGTTCCGGGCCGTGTGTCACTTCCGGGCCCCAGGAGGAAGTGGGTTGGTTGACTGGGCAACCGCCCGGCGTCCCTTCGCCCCTGGGTCGCGACTCCGCCAAGTTTCAGCGACGGGACGAAAACCACCCTTTGTGGTCAGACCCAAGAAGCTAGGACAGGGACTCGACCTTTGTCGCATAGTGTCGTTCGTCGTCCACTCTCCGCCTGCTACGAGCAGGGGAGTGGTTTACTTCGGATCGGGAGTTGAAATGCGTTTGATAACCCGAAGTCGAGGAACAGACCTTGGACACGAACTTCTTGTACCCTTGCTCTGTTTTTCCCAGCACGTCACTAATCCGATGATTTCAAGGAATCCACTTCAAGAGTGACTTCTGTGGCCTGTAGCGTGTAGCGACATTTAAGTCTCTGTTGTTGAATGCATAAATTTGTTCTCTGAATCCATATGATTGATAGGGCCGATCTCTTAGTGGGAATAAAGCTGATACTGATTGTCGCTGTGTGCCAGTTACTGCACCAGATCCAGGACATTATATGAAGTAAAACTGATTTTTACAGATAAAAGTAACTTGTCCAGTTAGTTGAATGGGGGAATTTTTGTCTCCTAAGCCTGTTACTTTAGGTGAATGTCCTTTGTTTCAAACTGTTTAAACCTTTTTATTTTAAGTAAGAGTTGTCCAATGTTATTTTTTCCGATGTGGTGCACATATGTGAGTCGTAACCCAGAAAATTATACGTATGTGCTTAAGAATTGTATATTGAATATTTGTGGTTTTTCAAGTGGTAACTTTGAAGATTGTAAAGCTTGTAGATTTTTATACTTTAAAGGCACAAATTTGCCTTAAACTATTTGAAGTTGGGAAGAAATGCTAGAATTTGTTGATAGAGAAATCTATTTGACCATCTATAATTGTCATAATTAGTTCTGGTAGTATGAGTGATATGGTAGGACTTAAAAGATTGAGAGATTGTCAAAATTCTCAATTCTGTAAAATTGTGATTAACTTCCACATTAATAGAAAAGCAATAGAATTTTCGCTCTGTGCACATAGTTGCTAAACTCAACCTTTATGGTTTTTTACTAACTTTACATACTATTGTGTTCTTGGTTCACTTTCATTTTTTTAATTTGTTTTAAACATTTATTTATTTATTTGAAAGCTACACAGAGAGATCTTCCATCCCCTGATTTATTTTATTTTTTTTTTATGCAGAACTATACAGCTTTACAGTTACAAACTTGATACACTTCATAATTACAGCTTTAGGAACATGGTGATTCTTCCCACCATGCCTACATTCCCACCCCTGGTTTATTTTAAATGGCCGTAACTGCCAGGGCTGGCCCAGGCGGAAGCCTGGAGGCAGGAGTTTGATCTGGGTCTCTCAGGGGGATGGAGGGACCCAAGCACTGGGAGGTCTTCCTCTGCTTTCCCAGGCACTTTAGCAGGGAGTTGGATGGGAAGTGGAGCAGCCGAGACTCAAACTGGTACTCATGTGAGATGCCGGGGTTGTGCAGGCGGAGGCTGTACCTGCTATGCCACAGTGCTGGCACCCATTTTCATGTTTCTTATTTGCTAGTCCTTAAGTATTTTTTTTGGTTGGCATCTAATACTTAGCGCAATATTTAATGATATAAATTATATAAGCATTCAAGGAAATTTCTCTCCAACTATTTGAGACAGTTCCTGAAATTGCTGATGAACCTATAAAATAGAGAATTAAAGAAGAAGAGTTTCATAATTCAGTAAATTATTATGGGATATGGCATTAGATAACCTTTATTTTTTGTTTTAGTATTCTCATTCATAATTAGGTAAATAACAACCTTTGAACTAAAATTTAATATTTAATTTCAAGTGCCTTTCATGTTACTTATAGCAAGTACCTAAATTGTGGGGTCCACTATATAGATCTGACAGAGTTCAAAGTCTGGGGTTCTTTCCTCTTGAGTTTAACTTCACATGTGAAAGTAATGTCTTCATGGGGATTGGATGAGAAAATCTTTGCCACATAGATAAGGGCTGAGTAAATGTTAGTTTCCCTTCTTCTGTCACTACATAATTCATCTTTATAAAAATGTGAATTTTTGTCTCATGGTATTAATGTACTGGTATTACATAGTGTAATTTTAATTTTTATTATTTTTATCTTTTGTTGTGTATGGTATAATTAATTTCTAACTCATTATTAGATGCAAAATATTTGGAATGAGGTTTAGCATTTTTTAAAAAATCCTCATTTTTTTTGTATGTCTAAGGGCAAAATACTTAATTTCCTTATTTTTCCTTTAGAAAAACTAGTTTATTAAGAAATCCACTTAGGTGCCTACCTCAGCAAGTGGGATAGACAGGAACTTTGTTCAAAAGCATGCCATGCAAATATGATTACCTTCAACTTCATAGTGGTATTTTGTCACAAATCCTAGGGTAAATAGTAGTCCAACAGGTGTCAGTACCTGCAGTTTTCAGGGAGGAGATAATTCGTATGAAATGAGTGTCTGATTTGTGTTACCTTACTTGTAGACAGCACCAGTGTGTATATTTTACTTGTCTAACATTTCTGTTCTTGTATTTTGTAATACTGGAATATAAAACAGTGGTGTGCCAAATGATACTATGAATTAGATTTTTTTCTCTACCTTTAGTAAGATGGATCTCTCAAATAGCACTGTATCTAGGAGCCAGCGCTGTGGCGCAGTGGATTAATAAAGCCCCAGTCTGCAGCGCCTGCATCCCATATGGGCGCCGGTTCATGTCCTATCTGCTCTACTTCCGATTTAGCTCTGTGCTATGGCCTGGGAAAGCAGTGGAAGATGGTCCAAGTCCTTGGGCCCCTGCACCCACGTGGGAGACTGGAGGAAGCTCCTGGCTCCTGGCTTCAGATCAACGCAGCTCCGGCCGTTGCGGCCATCTGGGGAGTGAACCAGCAGATGGAAGACCTTTCTCTTTCTCTGCCTCTGCCTCTCTGTAACTCTGCCTTTCAAATAAATAAATAAATCTTAAAACAACACACAAACAGCATTATATATCATAAGAATAAGAAATTGAGCAGATTTTAATAAGCTAATCTTGAATTATTCATGACATCTCAGACTCAGATTTTTACATATCATCTAGTGACTCAGCTATTTTTATTTGATTTAAGTAAATGTCCCAAATGCTATACTAGCAAATCAGCAGTTTTAAAAGCTTAGAACCAACTGCTGAGTTATCTATAAAAGCACAGTGATCCAATGCTGACTTTACTGTAATTTTGTTAGTGGTTTGTTTAGATGATGCCAGAACCAGAACCTACTCTGGAAATAGTTTGATTTTTCAGAATTTCACATGTGATAATAAAATAAAAGACCCATTGAAACTAGGATGATGGGAAGTTAGGAGTTGCTTATTCTGCTTGGTTCAAGAATATCCAACAATCTGATGTGAAAGTGAGGAGATAGTGTCTGTCTAGAATCATGTAGCAAGTTAATGCTCTAAACACAGTTGGGCGAAAATCTGCAGCCTAGTCCTGGAACTTCTTCATGTATTGTAGGAGCAGTATAGCATGTTAACTTTACATGGAGGGTTATTTTGATATTCAAATGAAGTATAGGTGATATGGCAGTAGGTAGACTCTAACCCGATATTCAGTGTCCTTGCCTTTGTTAACTACTTTGGATTTTTAATTGACCACACGTCTTTTATCCTGTTAACATTAATGATTATGTTAGTAATAATCATTAATATTAATGAACTTTAATAAGTTCAGTGTTCTTTTTAGTAGTTTATTTCTGAGTATTGGATAACATGGTCTTTATATGGAAAATAATGTATATGTACTGTAGGGAAGTATAGTTTCATGGTATGAGTTTAGTTCTAACTTCACCAGTTCTATAAAAAATAACTGACTATTTTCAGTGTTATGGTGCAGCAAGTTAAGCCGCCACCTGTGACTGTGGTATCACATATTGGCACTAGCTCGAGTCCTGCCTGCTCCTCTTCTGATCCAGCTCCCTGCTAATGCACATGAGAAAGCAGCAGAGGATGGTCCAAGTAGTTGGGCCCCTGCACCCATGCAGGAGACTCAGATGGAGTTTCAGGCTGCTGGCTTCAGCCTCGCCCAGTCCTGGCATTTCTGGCCATTTGGAAGTGAACCAGCAGATGGAAGATCTTTCTGTCTCTCTCTCCTCTCTCTCACTACCTTTCAAATAAATGCACACACAACTTTTTTTTTTTTTTTTTTTTTTTTTTTTTTTTTGACAGGCAGAGTTAGAGAGACAGAGAGAAAGGTCTTCCTTCTGTTGGTTCACCCCCCAAATGGTCGCTATGGCCGGTGCGCTGTGCCGATCCGAAGCCAGGAGCCAGGTGCTTCCTCCTGGTCTCCTATGTGGGTACAGGGCCCAAGCACTTGGGCCATCCTCCACTGCACTCCCAGGCCACAGCAGAGAGCTGGACTGGAAGAGGAGCAGCCGGGACTAGAACCCGGGGTGCCAGCGCCGCATGCAGAGGATTAGCCTAGTGAGCCGTGGCGCCAGCCTAAATAAATGCACACATAACTTTAAACATCACAAAACAAAATAACTGACTTGAAAATGTTATATGTGCTAACACACAATAACAGTCTCATTTTTCTTTTCTTCTGTTAGAAACATTAAAGGAAATTGATGATGTCTATGAAAAATATAAGAAAGAAGATGACTCAAACCAGAAAAAACGCCTACAGCAGCATCTCCAGAGAGCTTTAATCAATAGTCAAGAATTGGGAGATGAAAAAATTCAGATTGTTACACAAATGCTTGAGTTGGTGGAAAATCGTGCGAGACAAATGGAGTTACATTCACAGTGTTTCCAAGATCCTGCTGAAAATGAACGAGCCTCAGATAAAGCAAAGATGGATTCCAGTCAACCAGAAAGATCCTCGAGAAGACCCCGCAGACAGCGTACCAGTGAGAGCCGCGATTTATGTCACATGACAAATGGGATTGAAGACTGTGATGATCAGCCACCTAAAGAAAAGAAATCCAAGTCAGCCAAGAAAAAGAAACGTTCCAAGGCCAAGCAAGAAAGGGAAGCTTCCCCTGTTGAGTTTGCAATAGATCCCAATGAACCTACATACTGTCTGTGTAACCAAGTGTCTTATGGGGAAATGATAGGGTGTGACAATGAACAGTGTCCAATCGAGTGGTTTCACTTTTCATGTGTTTCACTTACCTACAAACCAAAGGGGAAATGGTATTGTCCAAAGTGCAGGGGAGATAATGAGAAAACAATGGACAAAAGTACTGAAAAAACAAAAAAAGATAGAAGATCGAGGTAGTGAAGGCCGTCCACATTTTAAAGGGTTATTTGTCTTTTATATAATTCGTTTACTTTCAGAAAATGTTTTAGGGTAAATGCATAAAGACTATGCAATAATTTTTAATCATTAGTATTAATAGTGTATTAAAAGTTGTTGTACTTTGTCTGTGACCTTAATTTTCTGCACTGAATTACCAAATATTTTAAACCAGGTAGTCTTCAGATCACCTGATGAGAGGAGCAGGGGACAGGGAGAGTGGGGGTGTGAACATTATAAAGATATCACAAACCATGCCTATTTCATTTTCACTTAAAACTACAATGCTGTTTTTGGAGGAATAAACACAAATTTTGCTAGCATTTTTAGTTCATATTATATGCTTCAAAAAATTTAGATATTGTTGGATTTCTCTTTAAGCCTCAGATTATCTTGGGTAATTTAAAATATGAACACTATATGGTTTAGAGCTTCTTTTTCCCTAGCCCCATCTATTATACACCTGTTCATCTCTAGTCTTCCGGGAATTTATGGAACTAGAGATAAGAATCATTTGGGATTCCATGTGGAATAATGTGCTCTTATTAGAGTATTTGCTGCTGTATTTTCCTTAGTAGCATTTTGATACACTGTCAGTAGTCCATTTGTAAATGCCTTGCTGCTTCTTCACAGATAAAATTAATCTAGTGCTTAATAAGGGATTTGTTTTGGTTTTGTTTTAATTGGGACAGGTAACTAGTTAGGACACCAGAAATGCTGCCATTGGATTGTATTGGCAAAATTTGGGTTACGTAGAATCATGGCTCAAGGTTGAGCAATTGAAAAAACACATCTTAGTATTTTTCCATGTGACCCACCTCTGGGATGCTTAGCCAGAGGCCTATCAGTGGGAAAAGGGCATACACTAGTCTTATAAATAATGCCTTTATATCAAACAGTTGTTTTAGATGTTTTTGCTAGTGGCTATAGTCAGTTCATTTCAATCTCAATTAGTGATTATATATTATTTTAAATAATAGTGTATTTACCTTCTTAACTTTCTAGTATTGGTGCTGTTTGATGTTTTCCTGTTTGATGAGCTAATTTCATTATAATAATGCAATTAATAATGTATTTGTAAATTGAATTTTCCAAGATTCTGATATTTTAAGGATAAGCATCTGATGGATACGTGTCCACATGTTTGAAGAAAAGTTTGGTTTTGGGGGGCAGCAGATTGACTAGTCCTTTAAATCTTTGTGTAACATACTTTTTTATTCATTTCTTCCTAATCTGATGATCTTGATTCTTTTTGATTAACATGTGAAAAATCCTGTCTGCTTGTTTGGAAAAAAAAATTGTTTTTTTCTCTTCTCACTCTCCTGTGTGACTTTTAGGCATCTCATTTCACCTTGTCTGGGTTTCAGGTCATTCACTTGTCAAATGAGTTGGCTTAAATATCTCCAAGGTTCTTTTGAAAATCTGTAGTGTTTGTACTGAGTGAGGACTTTAGTAATGAAATTACTTGTTTTTTTCCTTTGATTAATTTTTCCTCCATTCTGACATAAGACTGTAAAGATGAGCTTAGGAATAAGTAAATGCACACTACTTGATTAGACTTACCCTAGGAGGATTTTTGATTGATGACCAGAGCCCACTGGTCAAATTACTTGAGTGAGAATTACTAGGCAGCACGATTAAAAGTTTATTTTGTTTTAGTTATAAAGAGATACTTTCTCTCTTGAAAGTGTACTGTTTTGTTTTAGATCATAGACGTTACAAGAATGGAGATAATTATGTGACACCATTAAAGTAACAAATATTGGCAAGTCACAATGTATGTGACTTTTATAGAAGTCAGCACTTCATAATTTTCATAAATTTGCTTCCAAAATAAACTTCCTAATAGAAAGTGCCCAAATATGGATCCGTCTGAACAGGAAAACAGACCTGAAAAATCTTGGATTGCACTCTCTTTAAGACCTATTGTGTGAAACAGTTTTATTGTTATGAGTATCATTTTGTTTTCTATGCCACATAGGACATAGAAGTCTTAGGTTTGCATAACATTATGATTGAGCTTTCTTTTGTTGGGTATTCTAGATCTCATACCAAGTACCAGTGGTTCCCAAATTTGTCTCCTTGGAATTACTTCAGGAGCTTTGTAAAATACTGATATACTTGGCCCCACACTGGTAATTGTGATCTTGATTCATTTGCAATGTGGCTTAAGCATCAAAAAGTTTTTTGTTGGTTGGTTTGTTTTAAAGGTCCCTGTTCTGATGTATTAATTTTGGATTTTTTTTTTTTTTTGACAGGCAGAGTTAGACAGTGAGAGAGAGAGACAGAGAGAAAAGTCTTCCTTTCAATGTTGGTTCACCCCCCAAATGGCCGCCATGGCCGGCGTGCTGTGCCGATCCGAAGCCAGGAGCCAGGCACTTCCTACTGGTCTCCCATGTGGGTGCAGGGCCCAAGCACTTGGGCCATCCTCACTGCACTCCCGGGCCACAGCAGAGAGTTGGCCTGGAAGAGGGGCAACCGGGACAGAATCCGGCGCCCCAACTGGAACTAGAACCCGGGGTGCCGGCACCACAGGTGGAGGATTAGCCAAGTGAGCCGCGGTGCCTGCTAGTTTTGGAATTAATGCCACATTTTAAAAATTTTGTTCTATTGAAAATAATGGATGAATTCTTCTACCAGATTTGTGCAACTTAGGCATATATAAATATGTTGATACCTGCAGGTAAATTTATCCCTTGCTTCCAACAATTCCACCACCAATTTTTTTTTTTAATTAATTTATTTATTTGAGAGGCAGAGAGAGAGGGCTTCTATCTGCAGGTTCACTTCCCAAATGGCCGCAACAGTTGGAGCTAGTCTGATCCAAAGCCAGGAGCCAGGAGCTTCTTCTGGGTCTCCACGTGGGTTCAGGGGCCCAAGGATTTGGGCCATCTTCCACTGCTTTCCCAGGCCATAGTAGAGAGCTGGATAGGAAGTGGAGCAGCTGGGACTTGAACCAGCGTCCATATGGGATGCCGGCACTGCAAGCGGTGGCTTTACCCTGTACGCCCACTAGTTCTTGAATACTCAATACCTAGGTGCTACCTAGGGGCTGGCATTGTAAAGAGTTGAATAAAAAAAAATTCCCTGCTCATGGACCATACATCCTGAAGGAAGAATGAAGATACATAGAGTGTCAGATAACTATTTTAGTGCTAAAATGAAAGTAAGGCAGAGTAAGCAGATACTAGAAGAAAAGGATGAGAGTCTCGTGATGAAAGAAGGTCTCTTAAAAAATAATCTTGGAGCTGACAGCAGGAATAGTAGAGCAGGCAAGGATTGGGGGGGGGGGAGTAGAATAAGCTTGTCAACTCGACTAAAGCAGAGCACTGTTCTGTAGCACGGTGTGGAAGGGCAAGCCAGGGTAGGCTTTTGGAAATCAAGGGAGGAAATTTGCAAAGCCACTGAAAGCTTTTGAACCATGGTCTGATTTATTTATTTGAAAGAGTTACACACAGAGAGGGAGAGGCAGAGAACCATCCGCTGGTTCACTCACCAATTGGCTGCAATAGCCAGAGCTGCGCTGATCAGGAGCCAGGAGCTTCTTCCAGGTCTCCCACGCAGGTGCAGGGGCCCAAGGACTTGGGCCATCTTCTACTACTTTCCCAGGCTATAGCTGAGAGCTGGATAGGAAGTGGAGCAGCCAGGACTTGAACTGGTGTCCATATGTGATGCCAGTACTGCAGGCGGCGACCTTACCCGCTACGCCACAGCACCGGCCCCTGATTTATTTTTTTATTTTCTATTTTTTTGACAGAGTGGACAGTGAGAGACAGAAAGGTCTTCCTTCTGTTGGTTCACCCTCCAGTGGCCGCTGCAGCCGGCGCACTGCGCTAATCCGAAACCAGGAGCCAGGTGCTTCTCCTGGTCTCCCATGCGGGTGCAAGGCCCAAGGACTTGAGCCATCCTCCACTGCACTCCCGAGCCACAGCAGAGAGCTGGCTGGAAGAGGGGCAACCAGGACAGAATCCGGCACCCTGAAGGGGACTAGAACCTAGGGTGCCAGCGCCGCAGGCGGAGGATTAGCCTATTGAGCCGTGGCGCTGGCCCTGATTTATTCTTAGAAATCACTTTGGCTACAGTGTATGGGGAACCTCAGAAAAAGGGGGATTTAGAGAACTGGGGTCTTTGCATCTGGCTTCAACTAGGGCAGTAGAGGCTAAATGGTAACCAGTGGTAAGACTCTATTTTGCAAGTACAGCCAAGAGGACTTTGGCCCAAAGTTTGGAAAGTAAAGAGATGCCAGGGGTAGCTTGTAGGGTTTTGACTGAGGAGGTGGGGACATAAAGATTTCTGTTTTGTGGCCTAGCAGGTAAAACCGCTGCCTGCAGTGCCGGCGTCCCACATGGGCTCCAGTTCGAGTCCCGGCTTCTCCACTTCAAACCAGCTCTCTGCTAGGCCTGGTGAAGCAGTAGCAGGTGGCCCAAGTCCTTGGACCCTCTGCATCTAGGTGGAGGACCCAGAAGAAGCTCCTGGCTCCTGGCTTCAGGATTGGCACAGCTCTGGCCATTGTGGCCATTTGGGGAGTCAAACAGCAGATGGAAGACCTTTCTCTCTCTCTCTCTCTGCCTCTCTCTAACTCTGCCTTTCAAATAAAAAATAAATAAAGCTCGAGAAAAAAATTTCTGTTCTGCACTTTGGTTTGAGATGGTCTAGTGGAAACTAGCATGACTGAAATTAGGAGAGGACAGGAGATTTTGGAGAGCCCATTTGTGGGTTTTGAAGTCATGTGATTGAAATTACACAGGTAATGAGATTACTGCATAAAATGTAATATGCATGAATCACCTCATTTTGTTAAAATGCAGAGCCTGATTCATAGCCTGGTGTAGGGCCTGAATTCTGCATTTCTAACAAGCTCTTCAGTGATGTTGAGGCTGCTGTGGAGGGTCCCAAATTAGGGAGGGGTGAGCCCTGGAGTACTCCACCATTTAAAAAAAGGAACCAGTAAAGGAGCTTTCTGGGAATTCATAGGTTAAACCAGAAAAGTGTGGCACACCAGAAACAGAACAAAGTATCTAAAGAAGTGAGTCATCAGCTCACTCAAATACTGTTAAGGTAGCACTGAATTAACCATTAAAAGGAGGTTGCGGTGGGGCAGAGGGGGGACTGCTGAGTTTTTCCAAG